CCCCCCCACCGCGATCAGACCTGCAGCCATTAGAATCACATGTGAATCCGTGCAGATGCGAGGTAGGACACTCGATCGTGACTCACGCACGACTCACAGAAGAGTCAGTCAGAGTCGTGCCGGTGGAGCCAATCGCGGCCATGACGAGAGAGCCTTCTCGGCACAGGCGAACAGTCTAGCGCTTCGAGACACTTACTTGACCATGATTCAAGTCTCTGACTTTTGACTCTCATCTCAAGCTTTTGTGGCATGTCTTTGTATCATTGGGGTGGAGAGAAGCGGAGAGGAGGCTGCATGCGTGCTTTGAAGCGTTGTTTCCGCACAGCGCAAGGGTCGCACGCTTGACAGTTCCCTTGACATCAGAGAAGGCGCACCAAAGCAAACTGCCATGCGAATCTCTCGAAGCTTATAGCATCCGTGCATCGTACACACACGAAGCCCCACACGGAAGCAAAGCGCATCAAAGAGGCAGATCGTCAAGCAATGGCCACGATGATGGGGTTGCAAATTGCAAGGACACTTGGAAATTTTTAGAAGGACGTGGTCATGCGCTAGCGAGAGAGGCGGGCGTAGGGCAGTACCGACCGGTCTGGTAGAGTGAAAGTCAGCTAGTGGGGAGAGAAAGAACACTCCCGAAGATGGTGGAGCGCTTGCCCACGCCTGTCCGGGAGACGGCCGGGGAGCCAGCTTCAGCGTGGAAGGGTCTCCAACGCCATTCGGCGAAGTATCGTTAGCTCTTCGCGCGCTACTGGCCGACTCGGGGCAGAATCGTAGAGGATACTGAAACACCCGAGATTAGTACGCTCTCTGCTTAGAGGCAGGGAGGTACTTGGTGGGTACGACAGGACTCTGCATCGCTTTGATCTGGTCCAGCCTCTTGTGTGAGACTGAACGTCTCAATCTTGCCTGTTCCGTAGGACTCTGCGGAGCCGAGTGGGAATACGTGGGCGAAAGTCTGCTTTCTCCAATCACTTTTCCAGAAAGTGTGCGCTCCCAGCCTTTGGGCTTGGTCGGGTCGACGTAAGAAGGAGAGAGTCTTAGATCTACCACTCGAGCTAGACCTGACCTAGTCCTGCTTGGGCTTGAGCTGCCCCTGCTCAAACTTCGCAAGAGACCCTCAAACTCTGCTCCCGCCCGCGGTAGCAGCTCAATGTTGAGTTTGGAAGAGCCTTGGCGCACGAGCGCGCCCGAGGCTGCGATGTGTGAAGCCTGCGAGGGAATTGGCGCAGCGCTGATCGTTGAAGAAAAGAGCATCCACTGGCATGCTGCCAGTAGAAGCGAAGAACAAGACGAAAACATCCTTGCGTTCTGGGACTGACGCAAGAGCCTTCGAGAAACGTCAACAGTGCCAAGCGGAGACCCTTCCTTGCTCACTTTTTTAACCCACCTTGTGATCGTCCAGCGAAAAGCAAGTAAAACAAAGATGGAAAACTCTGCTCAAGGCCCGAAGTGATGCTGGCAAGTGAGAAAAGCAAGGTAGAGAGAAGCGGGGGCACGCCGATACGGCTTGCATTGGAGTCTTAAGTACTTTGCGGTCACCGTCACGATTATTTCGTGGAAGGTGGCTCATATCTGACTGGCGACCGAGCGACCCGGGGAGCTTCCCG